TTTCTTATGTAAGTGTGATTCTGGTGCTGCCCATCCAATATCCAGATGTAGTTCTGTTTATTTTGTTAAAAAACAGAGTGAATCTGGTAATATCTTTTCCAACTAACAAATTTTATTTAAAGCCATAACTTTTGGTCACCATGGGCTAGCATGGCTCTCCTCCTACAGTGTCTCCTATGTTGCTTGAGACAGATGTTGCCAATGAACTAAAAAAAGCCTTTCAGAAAATTCTGTTGACCAATCTCCAGTACTACTTTTGTCCGTTTCTCTAATTCAGGGTTTCCCAATCTTGGCAATTTCCAGGTATATGGACTTCAAATCTCAGAATTCTCAACAATGGCTATGCTGGCTGTGGAATTTTAGGAACTGAAGTCCATATACCTGGAAATGCATTGTCAAGAAAAAACATAACGTTAATAATAGGGGACTGGAATGCAGAGCTTCCCAATCTTGGCAAATTGAAGGTGAGTGGACTTTAAATGTCAGAATCCTCAGTTTCTATAAAATTTGCTGTGTTTTCTAATTATTACTCTGTATAACATACTCATGGGATATCTGTTAATTTTTATATATAATGGTTATATCGAAATATATATTTAGTTGGGCCTTTTTGAATAACTTTGCCATTTCTTCATGTAGCTACATGCCCTTTACACCATATCAGGCCCATTACAGACCACTTAACATCTGGTATCCAAGTTCATCTAAATGCTTCAACCATACCAATATAGTTATCTCAGGAAGGGTACAGAAGTGGTTTGCTGTCGTCGTCTTCTAGGGTGGACTTTGGATTTTCTTCTACCAAATAGCTTGGCTTCCTTTATCCCTGAAGAACTTCCCCTGCTCTTGTAGTAGATTATTCTACTTTTATTATTTACCTCTCTCCTTTTAAGCTTATTGGTCAGGAGCTGCTGTTCTCACCATGCCATTCTCACAGATACCGTATTTTCCGATGTATAAGACGACTTTCTAATCCCTGAAAATCTTCTCAAAAGTCAGGGGTCGTCTTATACGCAGGAATATACGGGTAGCTGTTCTCTAAATTTAAAACCAATCTGCCCCCTAGTGGCCAGCCCTATTTTTTTTTACAGAAATAAGCACTAACAAGACAAAGCTTTCTAGCAGCAAAGGAGCTCCTATTGTGCTCATCTATAAACAGAAATTCAATATTGTACTGTATTTTCTGGCGTATAAGATGACTTTCTAATCCCTGAAAATCTTCTCAAAAGTCAGGGGTCGTCTTATACGCAGGAATATACGGGTAGCTGTTCTCTGAATTTAAAACCAATCTGCCCCCTAGTGGCCAGCCCTATTTTTTTTTACAGAAATAAGCACTACCAAGACAAAGCTTTCTAGCAGCAAAGGAGCTCCTATTGTGCTCATCTATAAACAGAAATTCAATATTGTACTGTATTTTCTGGCGTATAAGATGACTTTCTAAACCCTGAAAATCTTCTTAAAAGTTGGGGGTCGTCTTATATGCCTAGTCGCCTTATACGCCAGAATATATGGTAGTTTCTAACTTCTGAGTGCTACCACCATGGAAGGTGGTGTTCCTCTTTAAAGGGAATTTTACATTCACTTTAGAAGTAGATGTTTCTGTTTAGGGCAAGCCTCATCTAATAGTTATTTTTAATGGTTCCAGACTAGAAAATGAGAACAAAATGGGCTATTTATCCAGACACTTTGACATAAAGAATAAAACTACCATTAGCAAGCATTTAAAACATAAATCATTCCCTTTTGTAATGGAAGACATGGAGCATAAATGCTATTGCAAAAAATGATTCATAAGGAATTGGATATATGACACAGCAAGTTATTCAGTGATTAGTTGTTTTGCCAGTGTGCTTGATTTCCAGAGGTATTTATATGTGGAAGGAGTATCTGTTGGGATTAATCTGTTGGCTGGAAAAGACTGGGCTAAAGGTTAGCACTGGGCACTGATCATAGCAACAAAGCAGGGATCTACCACACTAGACAGAACCTGAGGTGCAGTCTATGCAAAGAGACCGCAGAGACAATCCAAACATAATGTCAGGGTGTAAGATTCAGGCGGGAACAGCATATCCTGATTATCCTACCTAGTTTGGTAATGAAATCTGCAAAAAACAACTAAGCTCAGACAGCACCAAGGACTCTACAGATACACTAAATGGCAAAACCAAGTAGGTGGCATTGTGTGTAGAATCAGCCACACAGTGTATCGGCTAGACCCTTCCAAGTCCAGATGGGAGATTTCACAGAAGATTGTGGAAAATTAATTAAGATCTTATGGGACTTGTTATCCAGATCCAAATGAGCATGTAGGTAATGGTCAGTAAACCAGACATTGTGGTTGTAGACAAGGACCAGAATATAGCAATGGTGATAGACGAATCGGTGCCAAGTGACAGCAACGTCAGGAAGAAGTATGAGAAGCTGGAGAAGTACGACAGCCTGAAGGAAGAATTAGAGAGGATGTGGAAAGTGAAGGACAAAAAGGACCCAGTAGTGGTAGGAGCCCTCGAGGCTGCGACTCCTAAACGGGTAGAACAGCTCCAACAGAGGTAAAGTCATTTTTGTCTTAAGACAATGGCCCGCAACCCATTGGACACCAGGGACCAGTTCCACGGAGAGAGGTTTTTCCACAGACCAGAGGGGGCGTGGTTTCATGTGCTGCCTGCATCCTGCGGATGGGGCTTTGCTTGTTTGCGTGGCCCAGTTTCTGGTTGCCTAGGTGGTTTCTTAAGAAGATGAATGTGATAGTGTTATCAAACCACTTCTCCCTTTGCTTTTAAAGGTTTTTGTATTTGCGTGTATTCCAATCAATTATCCAACATCTTTAGAGGAGGCAGGAGTGCCATACCTTCTTACCTCTTTCTTCTGTGAATACGGGGTCAGGTTTTTAGAATAACCCTTAGGTCTTAGATTCCATATATACATCAAAGCTGCTATGTAGCATCCCAGTGGTGTTAGAAGAGCCTGGTTGTATCCTTTCCATAGAATGGAATGGAATGGAATGGAATGGAATGGAATGGAATGGAATGGAATGGAATGGAATGGAATGGAATTTCTAGTCCACCCCCTATACCAGGAGAACCTATACCATTTCAGACAAGTGACTGTCTAGTCTCTTCTTAAAAACCTCCAGTGATGGAGCACCCACGATTTCTGAAGGCAAGCTGTCCCGCTGGTTAATTGTCCTCACTGTTAGGAGTTTCTCCTTAATTCCAGGTTGCTTCTCTCTTTGGTCAGTTTCCAACCAATGTTTCTTGTCCTGCCCTCTGGTGCTTTGGAAAATAATTTGACCCCCCTCTTCTTTATGGCAGCCCCCCAAATACTGGAATACTGCTATCATGTCACCCCTAGACATCAGCTAGCACAGTTCTCCTCTAGGAGAGAAGTAAATATCTAGGAGTAATTTTTTACAAGATAAAGGTAGCTCATGCTTGTGGTTATGTTTTTCTTTATTGGTTATAAAATAATTCCTTCTTTATTCTCAGTCTTCTAGTGTGTACAAATTTTCAATCTTACCGTATAACATTTATGTGACCTTGATTCTTGTTCTTGGCACTTCCGGGTGCAAGAGACCAGTGATGTGATAAACTTGCTAGCTTTCAAGTAATAAAACAACCATTTGAATCTGCTCCAGTTTGATGGTTTTCTTGATAAATGATTTTTTTTTTTATCACAACTTCAGATAGTATTCTTCCAGAAATACCAAGGTTTGGGTCTTCTCAGTTGGGTTTCCTCCTTTGAGACCTGAACCTTTACTGTCACATTTTTACTCAGGGTCTATCATTGTATCTTAGTTTCTATCATACTTTTCTCATCCTTTTCATAATGAGTTTTCAACGAATGATAGAAAATCACCTTATAGTGTCCCATGCTTTCACACCATATTGTAATTCCGTCCATATGTATTGTATTGAATGAATTGAGCTGTTGTGTAGACTTTTGACTTTTTATATATCACTCTTGGTGTTAATTTGAATTCACGTGTACACATATGCATAAAGATCTTACTTGTTTACAGATTTTTTAAAAAATATGCCCTGCTAAAAACATTTTTATGGAGTACTCATAAGTCTCGTAAATGTGTTCTTATGCATCTTATCCTAGGACACTGCCTATCCTACTATACACTGCAACAGGTAATGCAAGGCAGGTAACCAATATAATTTATTGGTTATGAAGTATTTCACAATATAGGATTAGAAATTGCTAGTCTGCCAAATATAAAGCAGATTTACCTCAGGCTACCCTTGATGATGAAAAGGGTACAAAAAGTGGATAAATTGGGCCACGTTCTAAGAATGTAGCCTCTAAAGCAGGGGTGTCAAACTCAATTTCATTGAGGGCCGCATCAGAATTGCAGTTGCCCTCAGGAGGCAGGTGGGTGTGGCCACGGTGGGTGCGGCCTACTGGGTAGATGTGGATGGAATGGGTGTGGCCTACTGGGTGGGCATGGCCAGCTCTACATCGTTCGTGTCAAAGGTGACTGTGGGGGCCTGGGCAGGAGTGGGATAGATCTGAGGGTCTCCAGCAGAAGAGGGTGAGACCAGGGCAAGGGCTAAGGCATGGTCCATTGGAGGAGCCTCACTTTTCCTCTCAGGCCATGCAGGGGGGGCTTATGGAGCTAAGACTTCAGCATAGATGGCCACCATAAAATTGTACATTGGCTCCCGGCCATCCAGGGCCAAGGCAGAGGGGGCCGTTTCCTCACTGTTTCCAGGATGGCTTTGCGGGCCACATGAAACCACTTTGCGGGCCGCATCTGGCCCCCGGGCCTTGTGTTTGATATGTCTGCTCTAAAGAAAACTAACATTTTTTTTTCTTTTTTGGTAGTACATCATGTTTTTAGACCTATGAAGTTGGAATGAGTTACATTAAGAAGCAGAAGTCATGGGGAGAAGGAGGAGAGAAGGACCTGTTACGTTGTGCCAACTTGCATTGAATAATTCACAAACTAATCTTTGTTTCCTTAGAAATATGATGGCATAAATTGTGTTTTTCAGGGATTGGCTACAAGTCTTCAGCCCTCCTATCATTCCTCCTAGCCAACAGGTGGCAGAATATAACAAAGCTTCAGCAAACATAAGTGCCCAAGGTAAGAATGAGTGGAAATGTTGCCACTGAAATGAAGTGAGAACAAAAGAACACTAGAAACTGCAGCAACATGCCATTAACTCCTCCATTTGTTAGATAGTATAAAAATGCTATAAAAATGGAGTCCTTGGTGCTCTCTGACCTTGGCTATTTTTGTGCAGACATTTCATTACCCAGATAGGTAACATCTTAAGTGCTAAAAGGGAGAGGACTTTGCTCTCTGTTTATATATAGGAGATTATTCTATCAGTGTTGGTGTTTTATCTTTGATAGTTCCTTAATAGGGTTATTGTTTATTGCTTGATTGTCTGGTGTTAATCCAAATATAAATCTCTGCTTGTCTGAATGTTAATTGCTGGCCAGGAGAGGTTCTAGTCTTTTTCTTCCATTTTTAACTTTTTTATTGTCTCTTTTGATTATTATGTAACTGTTCTTTATCTCTATGTGCCTGTTGTTGGCTGATTTGTCTGAGTTACCAGGAATTCCAGGCATTTTTGGATTTAACTTGGTATAGGATGCTCACGTTTCCCAGTTGAAACTATGGTTAAATCTGTCCATGCATTGTGAAATTAAGGAAAGCCCACTCCCTATAGCTCTGAAGATATTACCTACTTGGGTAATGAAGCACCTGCAGGAAAACAACTAAGCTCAGAGCACAAAGGACTCCACAGTTCATCCCTCAGTTACATATATTGTCTTTTATTAGTATATAGGTTGTGCCTTCCCGAATACCTCAGATAATTCTTCTTTTAGCATTCCTACACAGGGACCCACCAGCACCACTTTGTTCTGTTCTTGAATATTATATCTAATGAAAAAGAGAGTTGTGCTGCCTGTTTCTTAGAAAAGGGCTTAATGAAGCAATTCTGCCATGAATGAAATCATAAACTAGCAGCATTTTCCTAAGAATTTCACTTCTGTTCTCCTTCCTTTTTATTTATTATTTTATTTTATTTTTAAAATTTATAAGTTGCCCCACTCCCGAAGGACTCTGGGCAGCTAACAATAAAAACACATAAAACATAACAAAATAAACAATGCAAAGACAGTCATCCAGGGGTCAGGTTTTATAAACCCCAGGCCTGCCGGAAGACCAACAGGGTGGGAGCGGTCCTAATCTCCGGGGGGAGCTGGTTCCAAAGCGTGGGGGCCATCACAGAGAAGGCCCTCCTCCGCGGCCCCGCCAAATGGCACTGCTTGGCCGACAGGGCCTGAAGGAGGCCCAGCCTGTGGGATCTAACCGGACGTAGGGAACTATGAGATAGTAGGCGGTCTCTCAAATAGCCTGGCCCTGAGCCTTTTCCACCCTACAACCCACCAAGGATTCCTATCATTTCCACAGTTCCATACAAGAACTTACTGTGTATTTGCAAGCAGCAAATATGTGGAGGAAGAGCTGTCCATTAAATCTAATTTTCCATTAAATCCAGTTTATATACAGTAATTCACAAAATTAATATAATTTACATGTAATTAATATGTTATTTATAAAAAACACACGTTTTATTATTTATTTAAATTGTCCATATTACTTTGCCATAAAACAGACTCTTCCATGGGGGGGGGGAGTCTGAAGTCAGTTTTTTCCATTAAATCAGATGTTTGCTGAAGAAGACTCCATAAAATCAAGATTTGACTGTACTTTAGCTATTGTAGGAGTGAAGGCTAGTTAGTAATGGATTCCTTAACATACTATATAAACGGAGTTTTTTCAGGAACATGTAAATTTGCAATATGTTATAACTGTCGTGATTCCGTGCCAGCCTGTGTTCCCAACAGCTGAGTCTGGGGAATCTGAGGAGGAGGTGGAGGAGGCATTTGAAGGGCCATCAGGGTCAGAGGGAGGCTCTGATGAATTACAAGACTCACGGTTTGATGAAGAGCCTGGGCCCTCCAGTCGTGTTCCTGATGAAGCTCAGCTGTATGGGAAGAATGAGTCAGACTTGGAGGATTCACACCTGATGGACATGATGATTGATGCTCATAGACGCAGGCAATTAGCGAGAGCAGATCAGCAACAGTCAATACGACAATTCCAGGGGAGGAGGAGAAGGCACTGAGAGGCAACGCCTTGGGACTATTTTATAAAAAGGGAAGGTGTGGGCGGTGTTGGTTGCTGAAGGCAACCGTTGCAACGTACTTCATGGGATCATGTTCTGTTAGTATTGCCGGTGACTGTTTTTCTGTTTGCATCGTGTTTCATGTGGACAATTTCCTCCATTTGGATTGTGTTTTGCTGCTTTTGTTTCTGGATTATTTGGCAGGTTTGTTACCCATATTAAAAGGGGTTTGTTTTGTTTGAGTTTCCAGTCTATTTTCTCAACAGGGGTTTGGTCCTTGTGCCTTTAACAAGGTCGGCCATAGGCTGGGATAGAACAATAACAGCAAAATAACTATCAAGATCAGGAATGATTTTCAGAGGTCTGAATGTACATAAGGTTAAAGATGCTAAACACGCCACTTTAATTATTGTACTTTTTTATTCAAACATATAGTAAATAAATATTTCAGATGAGGAAGTGAGAAATTTTTTAATATCAATCTAATGAAAATTCCATTTCTTCTGAAGCTCTGCCGCAATTCTCAGAAATCTTAAAAGCCAAGAAAATTGCATGGAAGAACCTGTTCCACTATTCCATATTAAAAAGTAATTTTCAGCTCGATCCAGAGATGTCTCCTGAATTTATTAATTGATTAGATTTCTACCTTACCAAAATCTTCATGACTTTTGATGGCTTCCATACTGTATAGCAGTGCCTTTTTTAAAAAAAAAATGCCATTACTACAAGTTTGTATCATAAAACTGAAGAAACAAACAATAAAACAAATTTTAAAAAATAAAAATAAAGGCAGACAAAATCAGCAGGAATTTCTGCCCGTCAATTGGCTTTTTTTCTACCCTGAATAATGCAGCAGAAATACAGCAACTTACTACTGCAATTGAGCCCAACGTTTCTGTTGCTAAGCAAGATAGTTGTTAAGTGAATTGTGCCTCATTTTATGACAGGTTTGCCATAGTTGTTAAGCAAATCACCGCACTTGCTAAGTGAAACATGCAGTTGTTAAGCAGATCTGGATTCCCCTCTTGAATTTGCATGCCAGCTGAGAAGATTACCAATAGTGATCACATGATGCCAGGACACTGCAACTGTCATAAATACATGTCAGTTTTCAGGCACACTAATGTGACAATGAAGATGCTACAACATAAGTGTGAAAACCAGTCATAAGTCTGAAAAGTGCCGTTGTAACTTCGAACGGTCACTAAACAAATGGTCGTGACTCAAGGATTACTTGTGTATGAGGGGCAGGGAGTAAAGAGCAGATTTTTATATAAAACATTATGATCTTTTAGTCCAAAGCAAGAAGATTTTATTTTTACCTGGGCCAGTAATGCTTTCCAGCAATTATTAGGGATTATAGCCATAGGAGAAACAGTGCTTCGAACAACAGTTGCTTCCTGAAAGCGTGATGCTTCCTGAATCACAGAGGGACAAGTTTGAAAATAACAAAATTAGGGTATCAGCCATAAAATCTTACGATTATTTACTACTGTACAGAATATCCCTGTCGATTTTTACATGCTTCTCTAATGAAATCCTAAAACAACCAGTTCCGTTTATTGCTAGTAAAAGGATTCTGTGCTGTCTTTTATTTGAAACATAATTCATTGTGAATATTCAAGAGACCAAAAGTTTTTCTCCCTTTTATAATTTCTTGACTGTTTGTGAAGTATTTGTTTGTTCTGAAGTAGATCTTTTAGGCCTTGAAGGAACGCAGTGATGGGAGAAGGAATGGATAACATTCTTTTTAAAAAACCAATCCCCTTTTGCAAATGAGTGCCATGTTTCTTTAGTTTTATTTCATACCAAGGAGCCGTCTTTCTCAAACAGAATCCCAAATCCATGTGGTCAGGTGTATTCCTGAAGCAAAGGCCACTTTAATACTTCTGAGCTTGCATCAGTGGAATAAGTAGTGACTTCCTTATCCTGCCATTTGCTCCTGTAATGCAGTAGACAAACGCAGTCTGGCTTTGTAAGATAATTCTGTTTTATTCCTTGGGTTGCAGTTCCCTCAATCCTTTCCTGAATATATGTTGAATTAGAACCTTGTGTATCAAATGGCATCGTTAGATGGTTGATACCATTTTCTGATTTGGTGTTTCTTAACCCTTAGTGAGGATGACTTGATTCTGTAAATCCTTTGCATCCTTTCAATTAGCCCCCAAGCAAAAGTAATGGTAAAGGCAATGCCAGTTGGCTTTATTATACCGTGTAACACAATTGTGGCTTAGTGGACTCATGCTAGGTGATAGATTTTTTCAGACAATGATGAACATGTAATGGAAAGTAGGCTTAGATCAATTCCCCAAACTTAATTCAGTAATATGCATTAAGGGAGTATGAGAGGATGGCCGGGTTATAATGTCCCTGAAAAGTCAGTTTTATGTGGTATCATCTATTTACAAGGAGGAGGAGGGAGAGGACGATGATGACAATTCGGCCAATAATATCATCCACTTACAAAAACAATATAATTAAGTATAATTTGTGCTACAAAGAGTTTAGCCTTCAGGCATCCAATTTAAAAATAAATAAAATATTTATTTAGGAATTAGAGTTTGTGTGCAGACCCCAGAACAATCACATCAGTTTGGGCTTTTGAAAGCCATTTCAGATTGATACATGATTTTGACAAATGCTCCATTTCTCTCTGATCAATGAATAAAATAAGCGCTCCCAAAACTGAGGAAAGAAGATGGCTCTTAACGTATCACGGCTGGCAGTTGAGTATCTCCAGATGGCTGGAATTATAGTTCTAATAATCTCTTGCTATTGGCCATATGACAGGGGCAGATGAGAACTGATGTTCACAGCATCTGGAGAATACCAGGGCCACTTACCTTTCTTATAGCGCGTTTTAATGTGCAAAGTTCCCTAACAAACACTCCCATAATAAGACATTTCTCTTTAAGAAACAAAGCTGTGTTAATGAGCTAATCATAGAGAAGAAAGTATTCTAGCACTCTCCCAAAGTCATATAGGCCCAAGCTCTAGGCTTTAAGTAGCCCAATCATGATCAGCACTTTCTATCTCACAGAAAAATAAATTGGTAGTTAAGATAGCCATACACCAAATAAAAATATTGTTTTGAAGCCAGTCAAGCTTGAGCTGCCTTGTTATAACAGAATAACAGAAGGGATCTTGGAGGTCTTCTAGTCCAATCCCCCCTGCTCAAGCAGCAGACTCTATACTATTTCAGACAAACGGTTGCCAATCTCTTCTTTAAAACTTATAGCCATCTATATGGGCCACCTATAGCCCCCAAGTAGCTTATAAGTCTCTTTTGAGAGAAGTTTTGCATTTAATATTCCCAAACAGGTGGCTAATTTTTACTGCCAAAATGGCAATGATCAAAGAACCTCATCAGTCCTCCTCTTCATTCATAGAGCTTGGCTCACCGAGCCACTTATGGAAAATGCATGGGCCAAAATCCATATTAATTTGTTTGTACAGATTGTGAAAAAACTAGATGAGCAGAAAAGCTACTGGTCGCCTGCCACTTTCGCGATGCCGTCTTAGAGTCTTTATATTCCAAGAACATAGAGTGGAGTTTCTTTGGGCAGTTAAGTCACCGAAATTGTTTCAATCTCCCTTTTAGAAAATGGAGATGATATGAAGATATGAAAGATATCCTATGACACAAAGCATAGCCCCTTAAAGAATCGGAGGGAAAGAACGTGTAATGTAGGGCTATTTATGCACTTATCTGCATTCTTCATCTAACATCACCAGCTAATAATACATTTTCAACATTGTAAACCCATTACTGTTGGCATAACAGGCCATTACTTTGAAGAAGCTAAGCATACGATATCATTACTGTGTATTGTGATTATGAGAAAAAAGAAAGCTGTTCACATGCAACTGTGAATCATGACTTGGTATCATTCACATTACATTTTAGCCCATAGCTCTTTGCCATCGTTTTAACAAAATGTGTTCCATTACAAAATGCCAAGAATGGCAAGACACAAAGTCAGTGAAAAATTTCTATGTGCCTTGATTATGCAATGCAGGATAGATGTTAGAGCAGAGTGGGGAGAACATTGTCATCTACCACATATATTCTTACTTCACGTTTATTTATTCTGATGGTTGGATTTGTAGATCAGTGTTGGCGATTGGAATTCAGCAGGAGCCTTTGCTAGACAATATGCTGCTGAATGTAAGCAGAGTGCAGAAAGAGTACTGAGTAATTTAATAACAGAGCAACACAAGTTTTTCAAAAGGTTGCAGATGAACTTGAAAAGCATAGATAGGTCTATCAACAGTCCTTAGCCATGGTAGCTTAATGAAATCACCGCCTTCAGTATCAATATACTAATGAATACACTCATTAGTGAGGATAAAGGAATGCAAGAGGGTTGTCACCTTGTAAATTTTCAGAAACATCTGGCTGACAGCAGATGGGAACTGAATAATGGAACAGATAAATCTGGTCCAAGGCCAAAGGCTCATCATCTTTTCTACTAAAGCTCTTTTTTCCCCTTTTTATCCACTTTCTGTTCATCCAGTGGCTAGCATTGCCACATTGCTGCTGTCATTTTAATATTTTTATAACTGCACATGCATGTTTTGGGATATAGTATACAATACAACACAACACAGTACAGTACAGTACAATACAATACAATACAATACAATACAATACAAAGATGGCCAAACTCATGACAAAAGGTAGAACAAAGGGGTAGAATTGACATTGAAGATATTGAAGTGGTGGATAACTTCTGCCTTTTAGGATCAACTATCAACAGTAAAAGAACAAGCAGTCAAAAAAATACACCACAGACTAGCACTCAGGAAAGCAGCCATGAAGACCTTGGAAAAGATATTCAAATGCAACGATGTACCTCTGCCTACAGAGATCAGAATCATGCAAGCCATGGTATTCCTGGGACACGCTAGGGCAGGGGGGAGCATAAGGAGCCCTATGAGAAATTGGGACTGTTGTGGAGTACCACCACTGCTGCCCCTCCCCTAATGCTGCTGCCACTCTCCTCCCAATGCTGCTTTTGCATACCCCTCCACCAGTGGTGAGCTTCAAATATGTGAGCAACTGGTTCTCTGTGTGGGTGCCACTTCCAGAAGTCCATTCTGGATCTGGGCAACAAAAAATAAGCTACCGGTTCTGCCGAAGTGGTGCGAACCAGCTGAATCCCACCACTGCTCTCCACTCTCCAACACATCTTGCCCTCTCTGTTGACGCTACACTGGCCTCCCACGACTGCTGTCTCACCCCTGACACTGCCAACATCCTCCTCTCCACTGTTGCTAGCACAGCAGGCTGGACTGGGACTGCCCATAAACCAAATGTGTCCCGAGGACTGTAAAATGTCCAGATCTGCTCTATGTAAATGAAAATTGGATTTTAAAGAAATAGAATAGAATAGAATAGAATAGAATAGAATAGAATAGAATAGAATAGAATAGAATAGATCTTAGAGGTCTTCTAGTCCAGCCCCCTTGAACTTTGATTCCCTTGAACTTTGTCATTGGGTTCCTGAAAGTGCTGTGGACAGCCAAGAAAACAAACCAATGGATGATTGAACAAATCAACCCAGTGTTTTCATTTGAGGCACAAATGGCCAGGTTCTAAGTATCCTACTTTGGACGCATTATATAAAGATCCAGCTCTTTGGAAAAGGCTCTAATGCTGGGAAAGGTGGAAGGAAAGAAAGAAAAGAAGAGGATAATCAGCAGCAAAGTGGACAGATTCAATTACAGTGGCAAAAAACAGGCTAGAGATAGACTATCATGGAGAACAACTATATAGTCATTGGGAGTTGAAACTGACTTAATGGCACATAGTCAATATATGCAAATAGGATGGTGCTGCAATATGCAGTTTACACAGCAAAGCAACCTCTGTGCTGGAGTTCTATACATGTTGTAGTATCGAATTTTATAATCCCAATTTTAATCCTTCCCAGTCCACCTGTCAGTTGCTTCCGGAATCTTTGACTGTTGATGATGATCAAGAAGAGTAGATGGAGGATGATAGTGGCTCCAAAGCCTGACCAGCCAATAGACATTGAGTGATGTTTTTTTAGCAAATCCACTTAAAATGTTGCTGTTCTTCCTTGTACATTTGGAGGAGACATGACTTTCCAATTTATTAGGTATTAGAAAGATGCTTACATTAGCCTTTACTGCCTCTTTTATGCTTAGAATTTTTCATTACTTGACTGACTTTTCAGCTCTGGAAATCATATCAAGCTTTCAAGATTAATTGGGGTTTAAAATCCAATCCAAATAAATTAAAGCAGGAACTAGAGCACAGTTGGAACTCTCTGGTATGAAAAATACCAGACAGTATTGGTTTATCTTAGGTTTTTTAGGGATTTATTTTTTGAAGTTTTACTTTAGGTAAAGAAAGTATAATGGTGAGCAATGGCAGGACAAAAAGCCAGTGCTCTTTTATCAAATAGCACCACCCTTGAGAGCTAAAGCCAGATAGATATCAGAAGACCGTGAGTTCTAATCCTGCCTTAGGCACAGAAGCCAGCTGGTTGACTTGGGGCTAGTCTCTCTCTCTCTCTCTCTGCCTAACTCATCTCAGATGGCTAATCTTTGCTTAAAGTCTTCCAACAGAGTGAAACATACTATTTCAGGAAATCTCTTAGAATATTTCAATTTCCTGCTTGCTTGAAAGTTTCCCAGAGCATCTGTTCTGACCCTTCTAGGAGAAAACTTGCTGTATTCAATGGGCCTTTGATATACAGTACAGGTGGTCCTCGACTTAATATCATAATGGAGCCTGTCCTCAAGCCAATGCCATGGTCATTAAGTAAGAACGTGGTTTGCTTTGGGCTGGTTTTGCTGAAAACCAAACTTGTCATCAAATGCAGTCCCATGACCATGGCACGCTGCAAACAGCCATAAATGCAGGGCAATTCCCAAGTGCCCAACATGCTGGCACGTGACTGTGGAGAGGGCAGCCATCAGAGCTTCAGAACCAGGTCCTAACTACCTGCAGGGAGATCTGTTGTAATTTTGAATGTTAAGCAATCAGTCGTAAGTCAAGGACAACCTATATAGCTGTGAGTCATTTCCCACAGCATATTGTCTCGTTTTAATACGTTCTAGTTGGGTCCCTCCCTTCTTTCTTCCTTTCTTCTTTTCTTTTTTTCTCTTTCTCTTTTTTTCTTTCTTTTCTTTTGTCTTGCAGATAAAGCAAATCTTTCATGTTCTTGGAACATCGTACATCATCTGTTGTTTTGCCTTTCCCTTTAGGTGAAGGTGAAGGGAGGGAAGAAGATGAAGTTCTCACTCTCTTGTACGACCCATGCCTAAACTGCTACTTCGATCCTGAGACTGGAAAATATTATGAGTTGGCATAGATATGTGAAGAAATATGGAGCGCCACAAAGAGCACAAACTCTGCAGCACCCAGAGCTTTGGCAAATGCTGTTCTCCCTGCCCCTAAGGCGAACAGAGAAAGACTCGAAAAGACCATGAAATATTTTGTTTCCTTTTTCCATTCCTGCTATTTTTATCAGAGTGCTTAGAAAGATCCTCTGACTTTTGTACACATTTAATTTGTTCCTATTATTTGCAGTATGAAAGATTCCTACCTGTGAACTGAATTACACCAAATCAAAGATATGTCCTGGATTTAATCTGTGAAAGCTTGCATAGTTTTTTTTCACCTAGCCATTTTTTTTATTCCCCAGTCATTTAAAGACATATATGGCATCTTTGTACTTTAAAAATACAATGTTCAGAAAGAAGTACCTCCATCAATTGTCTTTTCTTTTTTTATTCCTGCTATTTGTTAAAACAATATTCTTTAAAAAAAATATATAGGGGGGTAACAAACACCTTAGAGGATAATGTCAAGATTCAGGAGGATCTTGACAAAATGGAACAATAAGAAGAATACAGGACAATGAATTTCAACAGGAAGAAATGCAAAGTCCTGCATTTGAGCAGGAAAAATCAAAGGTATGAGTACTGGTAGCCCTTGATTTATGACCAGTCGCTTAGCAACTATTCAGAGCTACAATGGAGCTACTTACAACCCAGATTGGAATTTCCACAGCCAAGCCTCCTGTGGTCACATCATTGCATTTGGGTCACTGGACTACCAGCCCACATTTACTGGGATTTGCAGTCCCATGACCACAATTATGACATTTATTTCCAGAAACCGCTTTACTTTTACTTTTCCATTTTCTGGCAAAAAGAAATGCACGTTACAGATAATTGATTCCCTTAACCGCAATGGTGATTCGCTTAACAGCTGCCGCAAAAGGGTCATAAAATCAGGCATGGTGACCCACTTAACAATCGGTACAACTTACAACTGGAATTCCAGACTCAAATATGAACATACGTGGCAGATTACCTGTATAAGACTAAGGGAGCCTATTAGGCGATTTGGGTGTTTTAGTGGATCCCTAGTTGAAATGAGCCAGCAGTGTGATGCAACTGCAAAGAAAAAGAAAAGTAATCTTAGGTTGCTTCAAAAGAAGTATAGTGTCAGGGTTAGGAGAAGTCATTCCTCATTCCTTTCTATTGTGTTTTGGCTATCTCATACCCAAAATACTGTATCCAGGTCTGCGTGCAGCACTCTAGGAAAGGTGGTGACAACTAGGAGCACGTTCAGAAGAGATAAAGAAATATTCTAACAAGGAATGGTTGACTGTGGACATACAGTATTTAGCCTGAGGAGGAAAAAAACATTGTGAGGACATAGTGGTTGCCTTCAAACATCTGAATGGCTATCATGTAGACCAGATTTTTTTTTAGACTTGTTTCAGAAGACAGGACAAGAAAGAATGGGTTTAAATTAGTTTGAAAAATTAAACATCAGGAAAGTTTTTCTAAGGTAAGATCTGTTCAACAATAGGACAGATTATATCAAAGGTGCTTTTTCACGAGGCAACTGGACTTTCTTATTTTTTCTTTGAAAAGGTTTTGCTTCTCATCCAAGAGGCTTCTTCAGCTGAAGAAGCTTTTTGGATGAGAAGCGAAACCTCTTCAAAGAAAAAATAAGAAATTCCAGTTGCCTCATGAAAAAGCATTTGGGGATAACTATAACCTGGATGACTGAGAATCTCCACAGACAATAGAACAGATTACTTCGGGGTGTAGTAGATAATCTGTGGGAATACTGTTGTAGTGGATTCTTGCGCATGCTTAACTTTTCTCTCTCTTTTTTTTTTTTTACCTTCAAGTCAGTGTGGACTCCTGGTGACTGCTGGACTAGGCAAGCTTACAGTTTTCTTGGCAAGGTTTCCAGAAGCAGTTTGCCATTGCCTTCTTCCTGGGGCTGAGAAAAACTAAGGCAGGACAAGAAGCCATGATCGTCTGGTTTCTAGCCTGATGTCATCATCACTATACCATACTGGCTCTCCCACATGCTAACTAGAGACAAAAAAATACTACATTATCCAGACCTATTGATTAAAGCTATAAGAGATTAATTTCTGGTAACACCAAAAGGTGCCATGTTGAGATGAAAGGTAGAGAATTGTATTAAAAGTGGAACCCTTTTCTGATCACTTTTACAATACAAGGGCATAAACTGAAGTCCCAAGCCACATGCAGCTCTTGATTTCCTCAGATGTGGCTCCAGATATCTCAAAAAATGGTCATTTTTAATGATATAGAACATGAGGAAATACATAAATGCAGAATAATCTCATTATACGATTGTGATTTTTATCCAAAGTAAACAAGTTAAATTAACTGAGTTTTAATTCTCTCCCGAATCCCATCCAATTCTAGAAGAACTCAACTTGGCTTTCCAAACTGATATGTTCAAAAATATCAATATTTCCAAACAACAATAGAAAAATTAATCTTAAAATTCCACCACTGGTGAATTTTGAATGCTTGCGAGTTGATCAAATCTTCCCAACATTTAGCTTGCTTTATTTTCCCACAGTTGATTTTTAATGCTCACTGAACTCCATTCGTCTCAAGGATTTCAACAGACGGCTTCAGTCACCAGATACCTGGCCTTATCTGGAGTCCGATTTCTCAACAAGTGCAGCATTGCTACTGAACACATGATCTCATTTGACAAACTCTCAAGCTTTGTGACAGTTTCCCTTACAGGATGTCACACCAGCTGCGACTGGATACTGGGCTCCATGGCTCACTTGCCATATGGCATCTGAAAAATGACAAGGGAGAGAATTTGATGTTGTTGTTGTGTGTCTGCAAACCTTCTGGAACTGGTGGTTTGTAACAATAAGCTTGAGAAGTTGCTCTGGCGATTTCTCTCCTCTTGAGGGGAAGCTTTTTGAAACGCAATGAAATGAAATGCAAATGTACCATGGAAGAGCTTTCCCCTCAGAAATAACAGGGTCGTGACTAACAGAAAGAGGAAGAAAACAAAAAGTACTAATGTTTTTAAAAGATACAGATGAATATTTGAAGGCCTGAATTAAATGTTTTGGAAGGAGAAGGAAGCAGGAAGAGCAGAAGTTCAATGAAATCCCTACATAGATACCTTGAAATGGGATTATGGTAAAGGTTGGATTTTCCAGCTGGCCCTTTCCCCCCCCCCTTTTTTTTTTTTAATAAATACCAACATGATACTAATAGATCTTGCTGTTCTATTTTTTTTAGGTTCATTTTGAAATCAACGGATGGCTTTAAAAGGAAAAGAAAAACATGAACTCTGTTTCCTGCAAATGGGAATAAATGGCAGATGGGTTAACTTTACTTTACTGTCCATTTGTAATTGCTTTTTTTCCTTAAACAGCTGTGCTTTTTGATTAGTTATTCAAACTGGATTGTTGAGGAGTTTTTTTTAAATAGCAATAAACATCTCCCCTCTGGGTGATATTTTGAAGCTTTGTAACAAAGATCTTGCTTTCCCAAATGTAACATATTCATTTAGATTGCAGTCTCAAATTAGCAAGGAATCAGCAGAGTTACTCCAAATGGGAAAACAGTCCATACCTCTGAAACCAGGCCAGGAATAAAATGCCACTATCTACCAGCCATGCCATCACTAAATGGGCATTTGAGAGACTTTGTATTATGTCCATTTGAATATAATGTAAGAAAGAGCCATGTTCATTTAGAGTCAATTTTCCTATTAAGCACCATAAATATTATTAGCTTGAGTTCCCAGCCTCACATCTGTAAAATCTCTTCCCTTGTGGCCGGATGTCACAAATGTTTTTCAAAGATGGCCTGCTGCATGATCTGAGCATGGTGTAGCTAGCAGACCCAAGACCAGTTCCTCTTCTTCAGAACTTTCTTACAGAGAAAAAGGAGCTCTCTCCTTTTTGCTACAGTATATCAAGTGAAATTCCCCTGGCCAGCTTGAATTGTGCTTTCTGCTTCATTTGTGCTACCAATTGGCTGCTACAGAGCAGAGAAGGAAGAATGGTGATGCTACCAATGACCGTCAGTCATTATATGCAATTATGTTTTTGGTGGATCTAACAGATGGGAAATGAAATGTCTTCTTCTTCCTCAAAAAAAAAACCAGTCCACTTGCTTTTGGGAAAAATGCACTTTTGAGACAACTATGACCTGGATGACTGGGAATCTCCATAGACTAGTTCCACACTTACAGTCTAAAACAGTGGTTCTCAACCTTTTTAATGCCGCGACCCCCAACCAGTCGTAAGTTGAGGACTACTCAACCAGTCATAAGTCGAGGACTACTCAACTGGTGCAGCACCATTTGCAGAATGGGACTTTTGGCGGGCTCAGCAAGGCAGAGACAGCCTGGACAATTCCTATTGGCTTTTGAAAGCCAATAGAATTAGACTCTATTCAAGAGAGTCTATTCTATTGGCTTTCAAAAGCCAATAGAATAAAAGGGAGTAGCACAGCTAAGGAAAAGGGGGGAAAAATGGCAGACTGCGTTGTTTGGTGACCCCCGTGAAATGGTCGTTCGACCCCAAATGGGATCCCGACCCACAGGTTGAGAACCACTGGTCTAAAAGGACATGATAAAGAAAACAAAAGGAGAGGGTAGAAAGGGTTGAGGAAAACATGCCTCAGTACCCCCACCACAGTAAATAAGATTCTGGAGAAAACAAATGCCATAGACATTTTTCTCCAGCAGATGCAACAAGTGCTAAAAATTATATGAGGAAGGAAGGAAGGAAGGAAGGAAGGAAGGAAGGAAGGAAGGAAGGAAGGAAGGAAGGAAGGAAGGAAAGATAAGTTGTCATGTTGTTCTCATTCATGACTGCAGTTCTTGTTTTTGTGTAGCCAATGTCTTTAATCCCCATTTGCTGTCTTTCATAAAATAAATTTAAAAATGAAGAAATTTAAGTCGAACCAGCGATACATCAGCCCTACCAATGTTGGGAAATGGCTATATGCAAATGCCCCAGCTTTAAAACATGGTTCTTAAGGATCAGGTCAAAAATAGCAATTGTCTCTTCATCAATAGAAGTCTAACCCAAAGACAAAGTCCATTTTGGGTCTCTGGCTCTGAGATAAGCCATACAGGTTTAGCAATATCAAAGCACCAAAATGAAACTGAAAGATTCTAAGAACAATCTTTGTATCTTTCAAAAAAAGCAAGCTCTGGGTCAGCCTTTGCAGAAAGTTAGGCTAAAGCAGTGGTTCTCAACCTTCCTAATGCCGTGACCCTTTAATACAGTTCCTCATGTTGTGGTGACCCCCAACCATAAAATTATTTCCGTTGCTATTTCATAACTGTAATTTTGCTACTGTTATTAATTGTAATGTAAATATCTGATATGCAGGATGTATTTTCATTGTTACAAATTGAACATAATTAAAGCATAGTGATTAATCACAAATACAATATGTAATTATATATTATAAAATATTTATTTCTAATTACAAATAAATGAAATTTTGTCTCGAAGCATGGGTGCTCCACCTATGGCTCTGAAGGGAGACCTGACCTTTTCTCTTCTTTAAATGAGCCCTTTAAGTTCCCTGATTAGGTTAAGCATGACCTGTGAAAAATTAATATGATTGTGTATGGGGGGGTAGTGCTTATGGGGTGGGAGAAAATAAGGATTAGCTGAAGTGATACTCAAGGGGAGCTATACTTGTAGACATTTGTTGTCCATGTGTGTGATGTGGCCCACACAATTTGCCTCTTCAGCCTGAGCCACTGTCCATTTTTCTACCTCCAGCTGAAATTCATTGAGGGTGTGGAAGAGGACCCCTGTCCTTCCAGGACAATTGATCCTAATGACCTTCAGAGCTTCTCTCTCTGAAGAAGGCAGAAGGGAAACCTTGGCTCTTTTATGACTAGTTGACTTCAACTCCCAGAATTCCTGAGCCAGCACAGCTCACTTCTGGAGCTGTGCTTGCCAGAATCTTAGAGATTTTTGGAAGGAGGTCTTGTCCACTGAGGCAGAGGCAGCAGAAGGGAAATCCATTCCTTCCTCTCACCCCACTGCTGGTTCCACTGAGCAATAATCAACTGCTTTTGGTGCAGCAGCCAGGGCAGGAAGAATGGAGAGCATTACTGCAGCAACTGCAAG